AAAAAAAAAGCCGAAAAAATGTCATTTTTTAAACAGAATCTTTAAAAATCAGATGAGAATCAAGAAAAAACTGAAAAGGTGGTGTCCGCTTGTCTTCATAGTGAAGGACTGCTCGGCTCTGCCCCTGGCCCCGTACTGTCCGCGGCACTGACCCCGGCTTTGACCGCGGCTCCTGCCCTTGGCTTTCCCCCTGGCTCTGCCGCTGGCTCTGCCCCTGGCTCTGCCGCGCGCCTGCCTTGTGCCTGATGACTAGGATCACGTTGGTGGCCTGCCAGCACCAAGGTGTGGCTGTCATCGTCGTTTGTTACCTTTGGCAAACGACGGAAAGCGAAAGATTCTCGGTTCGACTTTCGCACGGGGCCGTTGTCTGCTTGCCATCTTTCTAGTGCTGTTTCCATTCATTCTATATCGAGAGTGTCGCTAAAGTGTCTCTAGGAAATAATTCCATTCTTTGTCAGCAACGTCTCCCAAACGAGACGTTCTCGAGACTTTCTCGAGACATCTGTGGAATATCCAACTGTCTCGACGCTGTCTTGTGAACGTCTATTGCAGCTTATAAATTGTCTCAATACAGTTTCCAGAAATTCTCCACAGCATCTCAAATTCGTCTTTAAAGTATCTCGGCTCGAGACAGTCAAGATCTATATACTTCCGTACAAGAAGAGGCAAAGCCTTTTACCGCCTTTTACCTTTAAGACATTACCCGTTAATGTGTGAGAGGCGGCCGTCGGAGCGGGTGTAAGCGGTGGCGACGCCACGACGGGGACGTTCTTCTCCGCGCCGGCCTCCGCGATGACCACCACAAGTTACCTGGCAATGACGCCGGGGCGCGGTCGCCGCTGCTGCAGCGCGAGTGGCCGTATTGGGTCCTCAGTGGGGTGTAGTGGGGCAAGACTAATGCCCAAAGTTTGGCCGGCGGCCGGGGAGGTGGGGAGCGAGCTGGGGCACGGGCACCGACTTAGGTAGAAACGTTATTGACAAATGTAGGGCGAAGGCGACGGCGGCGAGCGGGCGGGCTCTTTGAAATCGTGCCAATGTACTGGAAGGTGACGAAATGGTCGGGCAGAACTCGCTACCCTCCGACGACCGTCGTCACCGCGTCGTCGACGCGGTGTTGCTGCCCGGGGGGAAAGTTTTGCTCGGAGGTGGCATATGACTGTAACTGGGGTTTCATTTCGGACCACAAAACGAGGAAAGGGGGGATGGGAAAGGCTTGTTGCAGGGCGTGCCGAGTGCGTCCCTGCTCCCCTCCTCTCTCTCTGCAATTGATGGAGGCCTTTGGAGCGACCTCATTCAGAGGGGGCTGCTGCTGCTGCTGCTGCTGTTGGTCCAATCCCAAGATAACAGCTGCTGGCGCGGTTGTGTCCATGCGCTGATGGAAGGAACTCTTTTCATAACCCCGGACATTCGAGCAGTTTGTCATCGCGAAGGGAGAGTTGAGGGGTCAGGGGTTGGTGAAGGGAAGGGGGATTTGAATGGTAACGCCGATGGCTTGATTGTGTGAAAGCGCGCGTGCTGGCTGGAAAGAACAATGAACATATTGCGATTCTCTCGTTTTATTGCGGCTGAGCCCACTCCCCTCCCCCAGCTAAGCGCCCCTACAAGCGCGCGGGCCTATGCAGCAAGAACTGGGCGATATGGGCGCAAGCGAGGACACTGCTGCAAACTATCGTGTGTAAATCGACTGATATAAAATCCAGAAGTAGAATTCGCAAATTTGGCGACTTTCTTTACCCCCCTCGCCATTTCCCCCCGGCCACTGTTGTTGGGATTTTTCACGCAAGAACTCCCTTATAGTTCCGAAATTGACAGCCCCAAACCATTATAATCATTATAATCATTATAACCATTATAATCAGAGATTAAACAGGACGCGCGCGGAAAAGAGGGTTGTGTTTAAGACAGTTGGTGCTAAAACGCTCGGCAGAAGGATTGTACCATCGCTCATCGCGTCTTTGTCTTTAATTTAAGCATAAAGTACAACTTTAGGACTCGGTTTTTAAAATCACGATTCCAACAGTTCGGAGAGATAGAAATACCCCCATCATTTTTTGGATGAATGCATCCCCTTGCGTTGTTCCTGCTTTCCGTCTCTCTCCTCTTGCTCCAAATAACCTTTCAGACACTCCTTCGCCTTCAAGCACACAAGTAGTGTGACGTTGTGCGTGACGTTGTGCGTGTGACGTCGTGTGTGACGTCGTGTGTGCTGGCGGCCGTAACGAGCGCCGTCGCCGTGTCTCCTTCGGGGTCTCATCACCGGGCCAGGGGGGTGGCTGCGTCAGAAGGGCGGGGCTGCGCTGTGGCGCCCGCAACGCTATACGCGTCGTGTGTTTTCCGCACGCAGCCCCGGCCTGCCCCCGCGCGGGGGAGTAAAGGTACGTAGGACTGGAGGCGACCGGAGGCCAAGCCGGGCAGGAAGTCTCCGGGGACACGTGTCTTCCTGCGCGCGTGTGTACTTTCGGCATTGTGTTACCTTACCCCCTTACCCCTCCTTACTGTTTCCGGCCGCCGGTCCGCCGCCCGAGTGATGGTCTCTGCTGGGCTCTGCTCTGCCGCGCACCACATGCACAAGAATTAGAGCGACTCTGCTGAAGGGTTGCCTGCTCTGGGGGGTAGGAGGAGACTGTAAATAAACCTTGAAGACGTTATTTATTTTTATTTTTTTTACAGGGAGATCACCTTTATATTACAAAACAATTTATTGTAACACGCAACCTTTTTTTATCATTTTTTTGATCTTTCCAAATCAACAAACATTCTTTCCAGTAACGAAATTTTGTATGAGCTAGCTAAGACTCCATTTTGATTTTGACAGCCCTTCTTATTCTACGTGAGCCTATCATGATAAGGCTATCTTGGCTGGACAGATGATCGTTATGCAAGTGAGTAAAACGTTCAGTGTATAAAACGGGAGAAAAATTATACCAAGAAACAAAAGTAGTACATCATACAGATATTCAGACAAGACACCCACACTTTCACACTCGATTCGTATCCTTCAATATCTGTACACAATATATTACATTTTATCAATTTTATACAATCTTCAATAAACATAAAATATCTTCTTAAGTACATTATTATTTACATTGATTTATACCTGGAAACCTGAGTAAGAGGGTTGGGATGAGAGAGCAATAATAGGTAATCTGCAGCCAAATACGGGCTTTAAGTATTTAAGGGGTCAGCCTTAATCTGAACTGGGACACACAAATAACGGTAGTTCCAAATCAAAAGTATGGAAAGCGTTCTCAACACTCCATTTCAAAACAACTTTTAAAATCTATGACTTAAGTTGTTTTTAAATGCAGTCTTGATTGGGGCAAAAAGAAGAGTAGAAACGGATGTGTAAATTTATGCGCACTCTCATGCCCAGTGGCAGGCAACCAGTGTTAATGCAATTACACGAAGTGATTTTTCAAAATTGCAATATACACAATCAAGTGAATTTCTTTGGTTTCATATCGAAAATAGACGTTTCCCTCGATTCTGCCTTGACTATCACATTCTATGACTCAGCGCATCGTAGAGAAACCTAGAGCACCAAGTCTTCATTTTACACCACCTGCACGCACACGCTTAGACAGCTCGGCTCTAAGTGTTGTATTGAATCTATTTACGGTATTGTTCTAAGGTATCCTACGCTTTCACAAGAGGTTGATGAACGAAAGGCGTTGCGGTTCCACTTCACAAAGCCTCTGAGCCTGAGCAATTAAAACCCGGTGTGGACGTTTAGGCCGTAAGACCAGGGCGATCTATGAGCGGAAAGCAATGCGCACTTGAGCACGTAAATACATTAACAATTTAGGACAAAAATAAGAGCGTAGGAGGTTTTCGGTACAGTAAATTAACTCTCACATCCTGTTAACCAGCTCTTAACGAGCTCCTTGATAAGTTTGCGCCCTTGCGCCATCAGCTTACAAAATACCAGCAGTCATTATCTTTCATTGAATCGATATTAAGGCGATCATTTTTTTCACTTTCTCCCTCCGAAAAAAAAAAAGAATTTAAAGGTACGATCACAACCACGGCCAAGCTTGGATCAAACCTTCGCAGAATATCACGTGACCCTACGCTGCAAAACAAAAATTCGAGTTTCTGAACAGCAGAACGTGTCCGAAAACCGAAAACAGAAAATCGGCATCCCTGCCAGCAAGTCGGCCCGGACTTTGGAGTTATCACTGACCACAATCTGGAGCCTGGCCTGGGGTCGGGCTCCTGCCCGCTGGCCGTGAAGTCCGAATGTCTCTCCGTTAGCTGGGTGTCTCTGGACGGCGGAGGGAGGACAGAGCTGGCGGCTGGCGCCTCGGCTAGCGCGCACGAGTTCCCAACCGCAAACAGGGTCCGGGCGCGCCGCGGTGAAACTCGCTCGGAACCACGACTCGCGACTTAATTTTCGCGCCGCCTCGCGCGAGAGAGGCGGGAGGCAGCGTCACTCACGCCCCTCCCGATCGCCCCATCACTCACGTCCCCTTCACTTTCGCTCTCTCTCTTGCTTTCGCCGCCCCGGTCTTTTCGACGAGAGGAGCGATAGAGGGAAGGGGACCGAAAAAAACAGCACTTGTTAGGAAACAGTGTCAAGTCCTTGAGGTCCTCGAGGCGCGCGGAGGCAACGCGGCGGCGCGGCGGGGCGCGGAGTCTAATCGACGCCCCGCGTCGTCTCGCATGGCGGCGTACTCCGGCGGCCCCCGGGGGGTCATCCTCGTCGGCACCCTCTCCACGACCCCCCTGGGGGCGCGCGGCGGTACCGCGACGGGGCTTCATCATCTGGCGCTGAGCAGCGCGGCGACGAGCGCGATCACCAGGAGGGCGGCCGAGCACCGCGACCTCGACGACGAGGCGTTCGACGGCCTCTGCATCGCGGCGGGGTGCTCACCTGAAACAGACAAAAGAAAGATCAACGTCGGTGACAATGGTTATTGTTTCCCTCGAAGTTTGTCGTCGTCGTCGTGGCGGGTTGGCCCAGTCGGGGCGGGACTGCGTCCAGACGCCTGCGGGAGCGAGCGTAGGCCACCCGGCCCGCGCACGCACCGCTGTCCGATGGTTTGCCTATCCGCTCCATGGCGGGCGTCTCCCGCCGAGCAGAGGTACTTGTCTGCCCTCGAATCACCGAAAAATATCTTCGTAAATTTGCAACATGTTTTATAATTTCGATTTACAAACTTGTAGTATATTTACGACGCTCGTCAATGAATCCTATGACGATAGCAAGTACATGTAGTTTTACATTTTTAAATTGTTATTTTACAAACTCAAACTTTCCCCCTGTAGCCCCCAAGCATTCCTCACTGTGGATCCCTCGCCAAGTTCGAGATACGACACGGCGACACGGCCCGTCCGACAGCAGTGCTTATTAATTATGGAGCGCCAACTCGGGGGGATGGACGAACAAAACACGGCGCAAATGGATCACACTGCCATTGCTAGCGGCTCATCGTAAGGCAAACACTTGCTAAGTAATCGTTCAGCTCAATGGTCGTCAATCATGCGCTAGTTTTTTTTCTCGAAGGTGAAATCCGAAAGCTAACTTGAATTTAAGTATTAAGGTGCCATTTAACTCTCTTTCCAGCGAACATAATTTATAGCAATCACTGTGAAAAAAGTGGGTAGGTTTACAGGAAAATTTTCCTTGACGCAAGTTGTAAAATTACAATTTGAAATCGTAAAAATACATGGAGTACGTATCGACTTACAATCCATAGGCGTAGGCGAGTAAAAAATCTGCACTCGTAAATTTACAACTTAAATTATCATTCGAGTTTACAAAACTTTTGTAAATTTACGACGATATTTTTCACAGTGAATACATTGTCATGAATGTGTTAAACTCTTAACAAGACCCAAGGGAGTAGGAAAAGCAGAAAACTGAGGCGACGTTTCGTTGGGCCTCGCTATTAATAGCTCGTTGCTCGATTGTGTTTGCCAGTTAGTAAGCGATGGTGTTGGCCAGTTTGTACTCTTAGCAGTGCAGGGTGAAGGCGGGCTGTCGCGTCGATCCACAGAGAGAAAGAAAT